AATACATAAACAATGAAATTAGAGAAGATGAACTGATATTTACAGAAGGAACAGTGAATATTGAGACAATTGTTTGTTATTTTGCATATCAACTGTTTGCTATATGGTTATCAGAATTTAGTGAGATAGTCTGTAAATTTTCCTTAAATACATTCGATTGTTCCCAACCGGTGTTCTGTTCACAACAGTATAATTACATTTCCATCAATAAAATAGTGTATAAGACTTGACAGTATGAAAATCAACTACAGAATAGTGAACTAATGAATGAATGAATGAAGCCAACAAGATAATCATAAAATCTTCTATAAGAGTCTGGAATTAACAAAAAAAATACATGATCGTTTGAAAAAAAAGAAACAAATGAGAAGTGACACTTTCGTTGTTCTATTCAAATCTATCTCCCTTATTCTTTCTTACTATCCACATCTATAAACAAACTACTCATAATTAATTTATCTTGGTGAAAACAATTTACATTAGGCTAGAATGAAATTAATCATAATTCAATTGAACAATGGATTATTATTAGATAGTACACACAACAATAACTCTTGGTCACATTATACAATAATAATAAAATCTGACGAACACTTTTGGAGTGTGGCGTCCCACCCAAGTCCATTGACAGTAATCTAAAACCAGAACGACATGTCGAAGAAACTTTCACAGTTCCAAAGAAAGTTTTATTCTCGAATATCGAATTCAAGGGAAATATGGCAAGAAATTCATTTAATGGAGTGTCAAGGATAAACTGAGATTTGAGCCACCTCAATATGCATTTACCAGTTTACTTTCTATTATGGAGCAGGTTATATTAGACTTACAGAGTGCGCAATCGGTGAACGAATATCTAAGCACTATCCTGCATTGTTAAATAAAGCGATATACATATCATTAACACCTCAATTTCCGAATACATGGTCAATTCAGTTCACACCTCACCACGCGAATCTGCGTTCAAAATCCTCTACAAAGTAGGAAGAACTGACTCAAAAAATGTTTTGATGAGGAATTTATGCACAATCGAGGTTATAGTAATTCACCATTTCAAACCTAAATTCTGCGTACAGAAAAACCACGTACAATCCCTTATTTTTCCATGCCAGATGAAGAACTGTAGAAACCAGGATGTATTAAATGCTCATTCCATTCTAGTCTGGGATTAGTTGGAGTCAATTGTAAGACATCACATGAAGATCAAACTATATCGCGAGTTGAGTAAAATTAAAAATTTGGACGAATGGACAGTTATCTAGGAGTATCGGACTCGATCCCGGGTCTAAATGTCCCAGATTTCATTCCTGATAGAGTTATAGGTGCGTATTACTGAAAAGCTATCAACTAGGTATTAAAAGTTTCTTAGTTTTTATCGATTCACTGACAGGATTGTTGTGATGAGGATTAAACCTCACAATTGTTTTGGTCAAAAATTACACCACCTTACTCATTCTATTCATCAGCTAAACTTACTAAGTAATTATTGGTGTAGATTATTATCGAGTCAAATCTCAAATTCTCACTTCATTCATACGGAATTGTAAATACAATCATCTATGTAAACGTTAATATTACATCATAACAATTGTTTGAGCTAAATAAACAAAAATGATCCCAAGAAGTGATGGTAGATATGTGTATCAAAAAATAAGAGTAGAGAATCGATTATTATGTAACTGTAAATTCGAATAAGAGAACATAAACGTCTAATGTCTAAGTATATCATGTAGTTACTTTATTTGTTATTTTTCTACCAACTGATTACGTAATATCTTTGCGCCTTCCTATCTTAATACTCATTCACCTTCTTTTGATGAATATCTCAAAAAAGTCTTGTCAGTCAAGTCCTCTATATGAAGATGATAATGTCATGTGATATTTATGTCAGAAAAAATACAATACAAGGTCAAAACTACATTTGAATTCAACAATTTCAACATAGGATTAACGACTCACATCGATTATAGGACAATTGAAAGCCAAATGAAAAAATGTATTATCACAGAGTTTCGAACAGTGAACATATGATCACTGTGAAATTGTGTAATGTTAATTGGAGCTTATTTAATCATAAGAACTTAAGAATCCTTAGCCTACGTGGGGAATGATAGATTGTAAATTATGTAAATCCCTTTGTAACTTGCCGTAGAACGGTGACTTAATAGTTAAGACGCCTTCCTTTCAACCAGTAGGTTTTAGATTCCTAAGCCCAAGCACCCAAGACGGTATGGTTAGTCATCGGGCTAGAATTACCACAACTAAAATGTAATTCAGAGTTGAACACATAAATCTATGCCTGGTAAATGAGTATGTTATAGGGTATTGTGGGAACTGTCGGACTTGAAGTTACGTGTCATGGACTGGCTTTGATTAAACAACCATTGAAAACAAATATCACCAATGAGAACGGATGATGATCGCGTAATAAAGTGAATTGAATGAATTTAGAAATGCAAATCATTGGATGCCAACTAAGTAGTCTGAAAGTTAAGCATTCACTACAAGACACGAAGGCCCTATGTTTAGTTCTTGGAAATAACCAAGATGGTAGGTAAAAGAATGACAGTAGTAGAAAACTATAAACATGGAATATATATCATTCGAAAAAATGGGAAAAAATGAAATGAAAATAGGAAATGAATGCATTTGTGATACCAGAGATTATGAATATCTTACAAGATTTATAAACAGAGAGAATGTATTTAGCGATACTACTCAAACTAACCATTGAAACTTTAATTTATTATTATTATCACTATTAGCTTTATTCAATATTATAGTCTTGATACAATATAGAGTCCTCAGTGTAAAGTATTTCAACAAGTTTCCGTTTCTTATTTCTTGATTTATCGTGAAGATTAATATTGAGTGGTCGCCAGTTAGATGTTAGTAGTTCAGGAACCGACATCTGAATAATGTATATTTATTTCGATGCATATTGCCAGCAACCATGATGTCGCTGGGCTTTTTGTAGCTTGTACAGAGAAAGGTCGTAAGCTATTCATAAACACGCCTGAATAGGTTATGCGATTAAGAAACATAATGATGTGTCAAAACAAACAAAAAAACAGATAACTTGTTGAGATATTTAGATGGCAGGAACAGATGTCCCAGATATTCAAGCAGGCCGCCAGAGTATATAGGGTATAATTGAGCATTCAGGTAATGCAGTGAAAACTAAACACATATTTTGCAAAACCACGAAATAGAACAGAAAATTTATCAATCGTTTGGAATAATTATTATACTTTATCGATTGAGGTGGGTGAGACATGTATTACGGGAAGTCAAATAATACCTACCTCGACGTGCTACGTTGGGTGGTCCAGGAATAAAGTGAAACGAAATCATGGTATTAATACATGAAATCATACAGTTGGTTTGAGCCGTATTGATAGATGCAGACTACTTGGTTGGGGTTTGAGAGATAATCTTAATCAGTGGTTGGAGACTGGTTAGTAAGGGTCAGAATTGGTCACAGTGGTATAGATATATTCACCTCTTTATCTTCTTTTGGATCTTGAGTTCCAGTATTTCTTGGTACATAACGTTCCATTTTATCTTTTTTAGACATATTCTTTCTCATTATTATTGCTATCATGGTTATTTTGACTCCTTTGATATTTATTTTATCAATTTCATTGTGTCTTGATAATATGGTATAAAAACTTGGGCTAACGTAGATTTGTGCCAGGCCCTATGTTATGAACGGCTATTAGAGTATGGTAACTACATACAGTGAATAATCAAGCGTACTATATACGTTGTGTCGTAAACGATAATCTATGACTCATATGAAGAAAGCTAAGTCTCAGTAGATAGGTTCATGTGGAAAAAAGCGATTTCTTATACAGGTAATCATTTGTATTGACAGATATTTTGTATTATTGACTTAGCAAACTTCACTTGTAGTACTGATGCAAAATCATCACAAAAGTGTATATTTTTTGGATGTATTATTTATTTCATCAAAATTAATGATTTCGGTATATCAGACATTAAATTCTTGACAACCCGGTTACAGCTTCAAACTCTGACTCTACCTAATTCAAGCTAAGCAGTTGTTATTGTTTTGTTAACTACGTAAATGAACCCGTATTCAGTTGCTGAGAGTTAATCAATGACCGCACAGGATTTGTAAACACATTTATATTAATATACCATACAAGAGGGTAATTTTACATTGGTTTTCAGAACCAGGCATTATCCACGCTTTTACACTGCGATCTGAATAGCACAACTCAAGCCATTGGCACAATCGCACAGGTACCGAGAACTCTGATGAATCATATAGGATATCCAGAATTAATTCTTATGGACTTCAGAAGTTTCAGAGTTGACATCAGAGATTATTTATAAACACACATTTAATAGTGTATGTATATAACTAGAATTAAATCCACTGAGTCAACATTTCTAGGTACTGATTAACATTCATAATGGTAAACTGATGTGATAGGTCACAAAATCAATGACGGTATGACGTCAATACTTTCCTCATGAAACTAACAACTCAATAGTGATTTGTTATAAATACATGCGCATGCAACCGCTTTATTGTCCAGGATTTCTTATGAATTACCTCCAAGTACATAATATCCAAACAAGGTTCATGTAATGTCCAATCACCTCAACTAATGATCACAAACCAACTTGATCGTTAGAATTCGATTAGCACCAAGGACTAGACAGTCATGAGACTGATTTTTGCTCAGTGACTAATCAAGGTTAAACATATTAGCCCTATAGCAGGCCAATTGCGAACGAAATGGATCAATGGAAACGTCGTTAACTGTGACGCTGAGCAGATTGGCATTGAGTTTCACAGAGAACATCAACTCCTCAAAAATTGTAAAAACATATTACTGATAAGTGTCGGCCTCTCAACCTTAAGTAGGCAGTGTACATTTTGGATCTAAAAAAACTTTAACCTGCTACTATCTATATAAATAATATTTAATTTTGCACATAAATGCATATTTACAAATCAATTCACTTACGTATATAATTTGAACTATAGACACTATTATTATTATTAGATTTCATTTCTGAGTCAGCAAGAGTAGACTGTCGTGTTCTTGCACACGGTGTCACTTCAGCATACAGATGAACACAAGGTGTTATCTGAAATATCATTTTTAGACAAACAGAATAAGTGAATATTAGTCAAATCAATTACACATTCCGTTGTTTAATCTATGTGGAGACAGGTTGCTAGAATTTAACTTATCCCAATTGTAATTCACATGATATATCTTCAAGTTATTTTATTTTCTCATATGAAATACATATGATACTTCGAAAGTGTGTATTTGGAAAATATCATATCCTGGAAAATTGACTGAATCATTGAGTAGTATCATGTTTACCATAAGGTTTTCAAGCCTCGATTTAATGTTACAATGGGTTGATATTGTTAACTGGAAATTATACAAAATTTTATTATATCACTTAGTTGACCAGTTCACATTAAAACTAAGTTTTATTTAAATCATGAACGGATTTAATTCAGGTCACCATTAAAAAGCACAAAATACTGGACACGAATGCAGAACCTTCGGTCTCGCACGTGAACGCTTGACCTCCTGGGTGTTAAAGTCTCACGTATGGGGTCATGAATGCGCACTATTGAGGAGTCATATACTACGACGAAACGACCGTTCAGTCAGTACTTCCAGGTTTTCAATGGTGGTCTAACTAAGATCGATTCATGATTTCAATGACATTCAATAATCTCCACAATCCCACATCGGAAGTATATTTATTTACTATTTGTGCTCGTAAACATTCATTTGAACTACTTTTTTTTAAATATAATGTTTATCAGGCATTGAATTGTGTACTGACTTTAAAATATCATGCGCTAATTCACCTGAAGTATATTAGTTTTTGACACTAATTATTAGACTGAGAATTTATTAACCAACCCGTTTCAGAATTTGCCTGTTATTAGATAATTTAATTATAAATTTAAAGAGTTCGATTGTGTAGTAACTCGTATATTCGATACATCTCTTAGCTTTGTTTTATGTATTGTTGATAGGTTTTCCTTAAATATTGTCTCGAATAACTCTAATGTGAATAATACCAGTCATGCATAGCGTTGTAGCATGAAATACAGCTTTATAATGCTAGGATCTATCGATTCTTGATAACTTTTTGGTTGGAGTGACCAGAGATCCTGTAACTTAGTGATGTTATCTAGATATGGCAGTTCGCAGTTATATAATATAACCTTGTTTGTCAGGGCAATTTTACACTGGTTTTCAGGAGAACCAGACACCATCCAGACTTTCAGGTGACAGCCCAAACAGTACAACTCAATCCCGTTTAACAGAAGAGTCAGGTACTACCCAGGCTTAAAATTTGTAGCTCAAATAGTACGGCACAGAATATAAATCAGTAATGATCTTGTTGTAGTTTTCGATTCGATTAATAGAAAGAAGGAGATGAACTCCCCAACAAGTGAATGAAGATTTTCTTTTCTGTATTTTAAGCTGGAATTTATTTTTTATTAAGTATAATTATTATTTATTTACTGATTGGACTACACTTTACTCCCTTGCTTCTTCACAAGCTGTTCACCTCATTTGTGCAGTGCATTTCTTCTATGGTGTCCTATTGAAACGGAATCTATGTGCTACCAGAAGATTTGGTCAGTATAAACGAGAAAATGAATTTCGATAACAACTCATGTAACAATCAGTTGCGAGAAGGGTCATTGGTTGATGTTAAGTAGTAATTAGAGTACGCAATCTGGGAACCAAATGTAATAAAAAGGCTTACAACATAATTATGCACTATTCTCACACCTGCAACAATGATTTAACTTAGAATTTAGCAATTGAGAAAACAGAAACTCAGAAAGTTTCTTGTAATTCACATCGAAGTTGATAAGGTGTGAAATTAGTAGGCGCTCTTGTTAATCAGTCATGAGGAAGGTGAGTTTTAAGGAACCGGATTCAGCATTACGAGCAGTTTAAAAGTTTGAAAATTCCAGTTTTACAAATCTGGACTAAATTTTGAGAAATATTGCATTATATATGGTGTTTGTCACAAAAGGATATCCAGTTAGGGTACCATTGAGAACCAGACAAGATTGCATGACTGTCCCGTCATGGTAAGGGATTACTCGGTAGCCCGTACTTACAACATCATTATAGACTGAATATAGGACCTTAAAGCTTCATCGTTAGCGTTTAATCCTCAGACTTTAGAATCTGATCTAAAATGGTTTACATTTCTAGCTTCGAACAATTCGTAATAAAGCACCATCAGTGATGACTGCTTGCCTCACGTTGGTATGAACAAAGCAGATATTCAATGCTCATTGATCATACCCTAACTGATATCAGTCTGTGATGAAAACCACTCACAAATTAGGTTAGTCTCTTCACAAAACTTCTCATCAAAATATGAACATATGATAGCGAGAATTCATGATTGATGGAGTTCAATCATGTCGGAAGAGATGAGACAGATAGACAGAGTTATTACCAACGGTACTGAATGATGGTGGCTTTATATTACGAAATAACCGATACTGAAAATGTAAATCATTCGAATCCATCTCGATGATCTGATTACTAAGCACTCACCTCGAGACATGGAGGAGCTCAGTTCAATCCCATAGTGCAGTTGTAAGTGCATACACAATTGAGGAGTTTTAAACTAGGTGTAAAAATCAGTTGTCTAGTTCTCTCCATTACTATAATTACTGCCATTGTCAGTGGTAGAAATCGATTTTAATTTATACGATAAATTTTAGTAGAACAAATGAGCAAAATAATAGTGACAAATAGAACAAAATAGAACAGGAAGAGAATACCAACATTAACTTACAGAACATTTGTAACAATTTTCAATCTTCGTATGATTATGACAAGTCGGTTGATTAGATAGTTGACAGTTATCAATAATTTTATTACTGTTATGAGTACCATTATTATTATTATCCTTTGAAGTCTTTGAAGAGAATTTTGGAAATTGAAGAGCAGTAGTAGAGGTCGTGGCGGCTGTAGAAACACCACGGTACTGATCTTTTGTACTACCGTCCTTCTTATTATTATTAATATTATTATTACTCATGTTACATTCGCCTTTTAATTGAGAATAATAACGTGATTGACAGAGATCATGTCCTAATGAATAAAGAAATATATAAAACATTCATATATAAGTTTATTTTTTGAAAATTTACCAAACAATTGATAAACTACTTTAAACTTCTGCAGAAAAATCGATACAAATTAAAGAGAAATGAAAATTAATATCAGAATGGGGGTTTGTGGAGATTGTAGTGATGAATTCATGAGTAGATGTAAGGTAGACCACCAATGAAAACATGGAAGCACTAAACGGCCGTTTCGTCCTAGCATGGAACTACTCAGGAGTGCGCATCCACGACCCCTCATACATGACTCGAATCCAGGACCTTTGGTCTCGCGCAAACGCTTAACCTCTAGATCATTGAACCGGCATCCAACGGTGTTAACGTCTAAATTCAACCGCTCCATGAATTCAATTATTAAAATTAATACAATATCCATAAACCTCCATTCTGACAATAATTATTATGTGCTCATTAATGACTGGCTTCAAGGTGGATTTTCTGGAGTTCTTGTGAGAACCCGTGATCAGTGGAGTCCAATCCGTGTCAAGAAGAGACAGGTATCTACCTCAGACAATGGATGAACGGTTGGCAAGATCATGGATCGATTGAAGTTAGACATTAACACCGTTGGATGCCGGCTCATTGCTCTGGAGCTTAAGAGTTCGCGCCAGACCGAAGGTCGTGGATGCGCACTCCTGAGTAGTTCCATACTAGGACGAAACGGCCGTTTAGTGCTTCCATGTTTTCATTGGTGGTCTACCTTACATCGACTAATGAATTCAACTATTAAAATGAAAATTAGTTTGACCTCACTTTGGAACTGATCAACATTATATGTACATAGATAAAGTGATCCTCTCCTCTTAACCCATTTCCACTAAGGTATCAGTTAGCATTTCAAGTTAGATTTGTTAGATCAATTTTGTCGTTAAGTCATAAATGTATACTAATAAACAGTATCACACTTCAGTCGATACTGTGTGGAAAAAGCCCGAAAATTTTGTTTAAAATTAAAGAAAATTTTCGATAACTGTTTCATATTTATTTTAAACTGTTAACGAAAAAAATCTTTGGAAACTTTCTGAAATCTATTACTTTATGTATTACTACTATGGTGATTACATAAATCATCATATTTGTTTATTGTCCAAATAATTTACAACTTATTCAAAACTAGAACTACCAACCAGTGTCTGGAGCTTTAACCGGGTTGGTGGATATGGAGGATCCATCTAGAGGGGTTGGAAAACTCTGATTCCAAACGAATGGTGCACATGGGCTCCAGCATCCTGAGGGGTTAAATGGTGTATGAACCTATTGTTTGTCACCCGCTATCATAGGGCTGCATCTCTTTCGCCTTGTTTATTAGACCTTTAGGTCGAAGGGTGTGGCCCCCTAAGAAAACCATCAGCTTTAGTTTGGGCGCCCAGGTAGTATTCCAGCCTTCACACAAATCGGATGGTGAAGTGTGACGTATGTATATTCGGTGCCTCTTTGCACCAATGTTTATGCGTTTAAATAAATCAAGGTGATTAATTGTATTTTCTCGTTAGAGCATCCAAACTCAGTCTGACTTTGGTGTGGTTTGTCTTTTTTCTTATCTAACAATCCGTGAAAGCTGTATGCTTCTTATAAGTAAGGCTATATTGCCCATAATTATCAATTATGTAGCATTTCCCATTACTGTATAGTAAGTGTATGTTCTACTCTCTTTTTTTCTGGTTAGCTATATTAATGTTGATTTAGATTTTAGAAACAGAATGAGCATTAAAGGATCAAGTTTTAGTTGTTTTAATGTTCAATAAAACCCGCTAATTATGTTAGATGATTTTGAGATATATGTTGAGTCATGACTGGGCGTCAAAAACGTGAACAATTCGATCGTGATTTCATAATCTAAAGATAATACACTCATAGCGAGATATGAAGATCCTAGATTATACTCCTAGCGATATAGTAGGTATGTGTACTAATTGAATAATGCCATAGTAGGTTAATATATCTAGTCAGTACTCTCTAGTAATTGTCAATAGCTCTACAGTTGTATTATCGAATCGTAATGACAAAATCTAACTTCGGATAATGTTAACAAATCTTTTAATCAAATATAAATTATGTTTTTACCTGCCTAATAGATAGGATAACAGATTCTATAGACTATTACAAGTTTTTTAAACATTTTAATGCCTATTGGAAGGGATCAATCTCATATATGAGGAAATTTTCAATTTTATTTCATCACTCATCATTTTTATGATTTTATCCATTAAGTTTAAGCATAGTAATAATAATAAACCTCTAGGATATTTTTCTTCAAAAAAAAGTAGAATGCACACGAATTAATGGTGAAAACTTACTACTTGCAGTCATGTTTTCATTAGTTTGCATTGAATTACTATTAGTAGTAGTAGCAACAGTAGTAGTTGGAGTAATATTTACATTAACTATTGTTTCCGTGTCTTGGAATGTTTCTTGTGTAACAAAATTGTTTCCAATCATAGAAGATGGAAGCGGAGGCGGAGGATGACTTACACTCGCATACAATCCATCAGAGTCAGATGTTGGATCATCAGCATCATCGTCACATAGTGAATAGCATCGGTTGTTTGTATCAGAAACGCTTGTTGATGAATTTTTTTTAATTGATTGTAATAATTTAGGGATGGTGACATCATATAAATGATGCTTATTACTAATTGGTTGTTTCACTGTTGCGATTGAATAATAATAACATGTTAATTGATCAATGTTATCTTCTGGTAATGGTGCATGATCAACATTGATTTGTTTATTCTAAATGATAATCAGAGTGAAGAGAATAATGACAGAAAAATACAAATATAAATACCAATGATAAAACTACGTAATTCAAACGTTATGCATAAGATTGAGAATTTTCACCGACTGAGATGGGTGAGGGATATATTACGCATGCTTAACACTGCTTAGCTTAATGCCCAATTTTGGCTGAGGTAGAAATAGACTAGAAGAAAGCTGGTAAGTTTCAACTAACTGGTTAGGGTTTGCGTAATCACCGTAACTAATGGTTGGAGACATTAGGTGACATGGCTCAAACAGGATGCAATGGTCCAAATGTATTCACTTTTTGACTTTGTTTAGATTTTGAGTTTTAAGATTATCTTATACTTTTTATTCTGTGGATTCATACTCACTATAGCTAATCTTTATTAACCATCACCGAGTATAATTGCTATTTACCCCACTTGTTATTTAGCTTGATAATTAATATAATCGCCAAATATTAAGTTGCTAAATATTGCGTGTTGCGATAGGACTAAGCGAATTTTTACCGATTGACCAAATTCAGATATCCTAGCACGACACCAATACTGTTCCCCGACTCCAATAAATCAGAACACAGACGTCAAATGAGAATTGTTTATGGGGTCAGCAGTAGAACAAAAATGATTTACAGACAAGGCATATTTATACAGTTAAAATGACTATGAACAGTAACCAATGGAAAGAAAGGACACGTAAAGGTTATAATTAGGACAACTCAAAATTGACTAATAGGAAAACGACACGTGAAAGTCATAGTTAGGACAACTGTAAATAATGACCAATAGGAAATAACATGTGAAATATGTGAAGAGTCTGAAAACATACCGCTTTACGTTTGAGATAATTTTTGGGATATTCCTGTGAATATCCCAACAATAATTTCATTTCGATGTGTTGATTTAGTATGAGAACTTGGGCCGATACACATTTGCACCAATCTCCAAGCTGAATTTAATGGTCAACTATTGTAACTCACGTATAATCTGTATAGTAAGGGTACATGAGACATATATGGTGGGACAATCGAGTGAGCAACGCTCATATAAAGCGTAAATTACCATGCAAAGATAACAAAATCTGTTGATAGATCTGTCAATATTCGTTGACTGAGACAGATAGAACATGGGTTACGCATACCCAACCGCTATCTTTTTTGATGCACAATGCCAAATGACGTAGGTTAGTTTAAAGCTGGGATCAATCAAACAAAGACAGGGCATCGATTCATAAAGTTTTGGTAGTTCAAAACTATATGGATAGGGTTCACATGATAGGCGTGATCGAAGGCTGAACAAGATCACAGAGAGATAGATGAATTCATTCTCTATCATTCTATAAATTTTGAGTTTCATAACACTGTTTCATACTTTCTATCACGCAAAATTTTTCATCCTTCTTAAACTATATCCTTTACATTTAGTCTTTCTCACTATTATTAATTATGACTCCTTTAATATGCATTTTATTGATTATATTTCGCTAGATTGATACAGTTTGGTCTGTGGTTCTCAACTTGAAACAAATGTGGAAATATAGACTTCTAGATTAGGGGAGATCATAATATTTGTTATATACTTTCAGGTTATTTCAATATCTCCATTGTTCGTCAATAAACTCTAATAGTAATTCATGTATTTCATAACCATGCATCTACTATCTTGGTTTATGAACTTCATGTTAAAAACTTTTACACGTTAATCGTAAGTAACCCTTAGAGTTGGTTTCCAGTTCTGCATCGTAGTCTTTTTACGATCCCTTTATCTTCGTATACCCTTACTGGTTCTTTGAAACTTACATATACAGAGAGTAGAGTTAGGTGAGTGAGTCGAAAAAAATTGCTCTTCAAAACTATACTAGAGGATGTCAACACTTACCTGCTACACTTCTACATTATGTTATAGCTCTATGAAGAGAATATGATTGCCATTAAAAATATTGAATTTATGCTGAACAATCACATTTTTGAAACTACAAATGACCTATTTAGCAGTATAAACCTTGCTTTGACTTTATTATGTGCTCTACTGTCTGACTCAGTCATCATCATCGACCAAACGACTATCCAAAGAGAGACCAAGGCTGTGTGGAATAAAGAAATTTTATCTAGGTGGACAATCCGCCTATTTATAACAGCTTATACAAATTTGCCTCTCAATACTCGAGTACCATCTGCCTGGCATTGCTCATATTTTACTTTCTATACCCTAGTTTTTGTATCAATATTCGTACTGTCTACCATTCTGTTGGTTAGTAACAGACGTCTGATGATCAGTGTCCAGTTATCTGAAAAAAAACCTTACAAGAGGGGATAAACTTATTTGTGACATTGTCATACTTCTTTCTGTACTGATAGGTAGGCATCGGATAGGAGATCTCAAAATAATTATGGTTAGAAGTCCACACTATTAAGTGCTACTATGAAAAAATCCGTCGTATATTACCAAAGCCTTAACTTACCTCCGTAAATGCCGCATCGAAATATGTCGGTACTGGTGGAAGTTCACAATTCCTATGCGTATTACTGTCTTGACTAAATAAAAGGCAAGAAAAATGAGTGATTATAAATAAATTATATTTTGAAAATATATAATTTAATTTTTTTGAGTGAGGGTGTAAAGATTGTTCAATTTCATTGACAACATGAACCGATCCAAGTTAGATCAGCATTAAAATCCTGGAAGGATTTAGAGGACTTCTCGTCCAACTATGGGACTCTAAAACAGTGCGCACCCATAGTCCCGCACGAGAATCGGACCCAGGGCCGTTCGCACGCACTGCTGTGGGGTCCTGTACTAGGAAGGAATACCAATCGAATGGCTCCAGGTTTTTAATGGCGGTATGGATTGGAACAGTTCATGATTTTAATTAACCTTTTTGTTTAAAAACAATACATGTATCACAACAACAGAATTCCCAACAAAAAGGGTCAATAATTTTTTTTAATCTCAACTAACTACTTATAATCAAAAAATATTTCGGTTCATGATAATTACTCAATAATTTCCCTTTTTGTCACACAGTTTATTAATCAAAAACTAATACCGTTCGAACACTTTTGGTTGATTCGATGACTAATCTATTGACTGATTAATTCACTAGATGGCTGAATTAGCAAGTTCTTTATTATTCCATCAATTAATTAGTTGAGTTTCTGATTCCTTCTTGACTGAAGATTTCGACAAATATCTCGGCTGATTGTTTGTTCGATTAGCTAGAGTTATTGATCTAATGATGGACGGATACATAATCGTTGAACAATACCACAAGTTACTGCTGATGACGATAATAGTAGTATTAAATCTCTAATGCAATACAGGAATCTAGTAAACTTTTATAGATTCAATTTTGATCTACTGTTAGTATGTGAGGACGAGTAATAATACTACCTGATTGTGTAAATAGCAAAAAATGGAATCAAGTTTAAATCGAACAGTTGAAAATTAATTGCTTCAATCAGTGAATTTATCACTAAAAACAAAGGAAATAAAAGTACACAACATTACAAGCACTACATCAGTAATTAATATCAGTGTTTAATATACTGAGCCAATCAAATTCCATGGTTATTAGGTCAGCAAATACACAATGGAATCAATTATTGTTGGAGGCAACTGAGTTCTTGAAGGTTAAACAACCATAAAATTCTGCCAGAAAATAATAAAAAAACTGTGGAAGCGAACTAAATTCAAATTTAACTGTCTGAAGTGTAGTTACACTATGTCTAATAACTTCATTCCTTCACATAATGACAGTGATGTTACTGTTCTGATGCATGATACTGGATTGATATTCAATAAGATTACTGTTTCGACAAGTTTGAACTTGATCAGCGCACGCTACATCGTTGAATTAGGTAATATTACAGTGAAAATATTTTATCAAATTCTGTGAGATTTTAATCCATACTAAAACTGCGCGACAATCCCTAATCCAGTAATACAATTTAACGATGTTTTGATAATTTTCCTTAGTGCTTGTAATGCATGAAACAAACTTAATACTATATCGACATGACTGTATTTAGATTGTTTAGTCGAGATTTTGGTGGTCCCCTAGTCCATAACAAAATTGCCAGTACTGTATATACCAAATATGATAACTTCGAAGACTTCCAAGAGTTTCACAACATCTCCTTTTTTCTTATCGTCAGACGCTATATATGACAATGTGCTTCTGTCCCAAGACTATTTGGAACAGCTAACTGAAACCTTCCAAATAAAGTGATTATTCGTCGATACTCACCTCAGTTATAAGTTTTGTGTACAGAATTGATGTATGTGACTTCTGGAAATGCATGATATATTGCAAGTTCATCTCGAAGACTAAAGTAAAATATTGAATTATTGCTATTTTCATGAGACTATAGCTTCAAAGTTGAACTGAACACGCCGCATAATTTTCCTCTCATTTTTGGTGTCTACATTTAATTAGATTGCATGTAGATTTTACAACCTGGATATTGTTATGATCGTGTTTCAGTCAAGTCATCATCTTGTGAGATGCTTACAGGATTTCAAAAACGTGTGTTATTCTTCAAAAAAGGTCTCAAATAAACCCACTCACTAGACATTAACTGTTGTCTCAAAAGGTCTATAAGGATATACCCTTATGTACATAGATAGGTGTGAATGGTTTTAACGGAAGTGATTTTTAGTTCACCATGTACTACATGGATCCAAAATCCAAGACTGTGGTAGGAATATTTGGACCTATAGCATAAATGTGATTAAAAAAGCATATATGGACGACCGCTGTTGTATTCTTTGTCTATGGTATGGTGGTATGTTGGATGTTGTACGATCTTCTAAGAGGTGCTTATCAATACTACCATTTACACTTTGAGGTCCTAATGCTTTGCACCCACGTTTATATGTACAGACATACCCGACAGAACTGAATAAGGCTCGTATTTCTGCACACTGGTGTGATACGTTTAGTATGCACTTACTGCATAAAAAAATTATTAAACACTAAAGTATCATAGCCCTATACATCTCTTTCAAGCATAACTCGAACTTAACCCAACTGGTAAACCGTTAAAGCATAATCTTATTGAATAACAATCCACTGTCATGCATCAGAGCTGGAGACCATACCACGTTGAAAGCACCGGTTCTCGTCCGATCATGCATCAGAACAGTAACATCACTATCATTATTTGAAGGAATGAAGTTATCAGACATAGTATAACTGCACTTCAGACAGTTAAATTCGAATTTAGTTCGCCTCCACAGTTTGTTTGTTTGTTTAAATTTTTTTGATAGAATTTGTAAATTATTGAGACTAAGGCATTAATGATTTTATGGTTGTTTAACCTTCAAGAATGCAATCATTTCCAACAACAGTTATTAAAACGAAAGAATTTCACCTTGATTAATTTTAAAGTAAAAATTACTCATTCATTAAATACATTGTCTATCAAATGGTAAACATTTATTTGTAGTGAAAACCAATCACATGATGGCAACTAAAAATGTTAAAAATGAAAATAAGACGACTGTATGTTAGATAGTTCGCCGATTTTTTCTTCGGAACTCGATGAGATCGCTGTGCTGACTAACTTCTTCAAGATTTTTTGCTGTTTTTTTCTTCGAAATTCTTTGTTCAATGAATTATAAAAATAGGAATAAAATGTCATACCTATTTCACAATTTAGGTCATTTTTCCGAGATTTGATAGACGTTTCGAATTGATTTTATGTGTGAGACAGCTATCACTGGCGGTAATTCATGACCGCTGAAAAATATCATGAGTCGACTAAATGTTAAAATTGTGAATCATTGGATACCATCGGATACTCCCAAATGCCCTGGTACGGCCGAGAGTGGGGAGAGTCCTCTCTCCTCAAAATGCTCTCATATGGCCATGCGCATACAACCACTTTCAGAGAAGTCCTACTCACTGCCTTCTCGCAACGGGGGTGTTGTTTACAAAATTGAGAGAATGAAAAGCGAATGCCAAGCGCTTTAACCGGGTTGGTGGACACAGAAAGTCCACCTAGGGGAGCTGGAAAACCCTGATTCCAAACCAATGGTGCACATGGGCTCCAGTATCCTGAGGGAACAAATGGCGTATGAATCAATTGTTGGTCACCGACTACCATGGGACTGCATCTCCTCACGATGCTCCACTGCCTTGTGGATCAGATCTTTAGGTCAAAGGCTCTGGGTGTGGCCCCCTAAGAAAACCACCTGCTTTAGTTTGAGCACCCGGGCAATATCACAGCCCTCACACAAATCAAATGAGACTTGTGGAGCGCATATGTATTCGGTGCCCCTTTTTACCAATATTTATGTGTTCAAATAAATAAATAAATAAATAATAAATAGTGGTTTGGAAGTAACGGCACTTATTTATACAAGAAAGAAAAAATTAGCACAATAGTTGGTCGTATTACGCATTGGAAATAACAGCAGAATACAGGAAGTTTGTTTCGCATCACTTGGGCCTCATTAGTTGGATGTAGTAGCCCTAGTAACCCAACGTTGATGCTCACATACCAATACTCGAATCTAATTTAACATTACTTTATCCAAATACCAAGGAGTTAGACAACAGGCAACCAAGCTACAAGGAGTGCTGTAGGCGGCCATCAACGTACAGCCTGGACCACTACCAATTATATGTACAGTAGCAACTATAATTTCATGGGAACAGATTATAGTAACAAGTTTCAGAAAATCTGTGAGCTTGAATGCCTTCCTTTTTTTAACAAAAATAAGTCAAATTAAAGGAAAGTAAATCCAATCTAAAGGTATTGGATTCAAGCAAAAAACAAAACTGTATATAGATCATTCGATCATAATCGAGAAAACTATTTTCGAGTGTCTGCACGAAAAATTGAAAAGAATGGCTTATATGTTTTGTCTCATAAAATGCACAATAGAAAAACTTATTAAAAGTGTTAGGAAATATTCATTACTGTCATTCTAGAGTAAAATGATGATGTTAAACCTATTGACTGATCACCTTCTTACATTCTGATTTCACATAGTAGGTTAGTCAATAAATTTTTGTTTCAATGTACCGTGTTGATTGTAAACTCGGAAAATATTTATTTTATTGGTAGTTCACTGAATAATCTCCAAAGTCAAGAAGTAGGAATGTTAAAACTTGTAATGAATTTTACTCATGACTTCGTCAAACTGTTATCATATAAAGCCATGTCACTAGATCCTAAGCGAATTTGCAGGTGATAATGAATTTTTTTACTTCACTAATTATGACTATGAAGAAGATTCAAAAACAAAGCTTAGGCGTACATCAACTCATACTCTGCTTATTGAAGTTATGTAGTAATATTTCTACAATGATAATATCAGAGAACTGATAATAAGTCATGAAAAATCGATAGATTTGCTAAATCCTCACAAATCTGACAGGTTTTATTGTTTCCATTGAGAAATACTTTAACTTGTACAAACTCTCTGCTCATTGGCTGAAAAGTAGCTCTAAAAGCACTTAGTCATTTTAAGAATCTCTCGATTTTGTCGTTTACTCTAATTTTATCGTCTTCAGCAGTGCATATATGTATCGATCAACTTCATTTCAAATTCCATATAGGAAAATAGTGAGCATTTCAAATATAAATCAGGTCGGAAATCTATACACTCAACTTTGAGGTATACTATAGCTACATAAAGGCTACTTAGACAATTAAAATCAACCTACAACCTAGCACAAATATGCTTTAGCCCAAACTGCCATACCTACTCAGGATGATGAGATCAAACTAGGAAGGTGAATAGCAGATGAGTAAAAATAATAGTAGTAACAATGATAGAAAGAAATGTTAAACACTGGAGAATATGGTCGGAAAAGTAATAATGCATGAAAGGATATTAGATTTCATGATTAAGAGCAAGATAGAGAGTGAATGTATCTACCTCCCTCTAAATGATTGTGAATCGGTCAACTATATGCTAAACTTCATTCAGGTAGCTTTCAAGCAATTACTACTACTACTACTACTACTAATAATAATAATAATAATAATAATAATAATAATAGTAACAGAAAATTAGTTGAGCTGAACAGGATACGAGCAAAAGAATTATAAACACATACTGTAGTAATGGATAACCACTAGGAGATAGAATATCCGTACTATTCATATTTGTATTTAGTCCAATTGTGGTAGCATATGCCAAATCATCTTCATTGACGAATAAATTAGAATTTTTAATTAATACATGATTGGTGGTATCATGATTGATGTTAACCTTGGTAGTAGGGGTAGTTTTAGTTTCAACAGTAGTAGTGGCAACGGTATCAAGTACATATTTATGCGGTCGACTCAGTCTAACTGTGAAACGTTTATGGTGATTGTACGTGATTTCCTAAAATAGAAAAAGACAGTACGCTTCAAACAAATTTAACGAGTATAGATACTAATTTAATTTCAAAAATCAGCACTTGGAGATGATCGGAAAAAATTCTATGAACTCATATTCAAAGTTCGGTAGTTTAGGGGAATAGTTAGAAGATTTACGGTTAGGCTATTCGACAAACATGATAGAGAAGAACATGAAATACTGGTAGGTTTCAGGCATTTCTTAACATCCCAAGTCTCCTAGAAAAAAATGTCAGAATTATAAATGAAGTTATGATAATGTTAGATTTAAAGTGCTAGGAAAATATGGAAGATTTGGTGACGAAGTTATGAAATTCCAGTAATTAAAACGGTGTACACATTTTTTACGAATATCCACTTACTGCCTAAATAGGAGATAATATGGTTTAACACAATAAATAAAATGGATGTGTTAAATCACTGGCTATTAGTTCGAGCAGAGTGAATGACACGATCTAAATAGTTTACGCCTAACAATTACGTCTTCATTGATTAGAAAACGGGTGACCAACAAGCCAATTTCCTCGAATAACCAATGACATTCCGTCATGTTTATCTTGTGTTCAAATTTTGTACATTACGTACTTACACTTATTATCCCGCGTGGAGGAGCAAAGACCACACAGCAGCATTCTTCAACCAACTCTGTCCCGACCTCTCCTTTGCAGTTGTTTCCAAGCTCTGTTCATCCTTTGCATGTCTCGCACTGTATTCCTTGGTCTTTCACTTTTTCCTTTGCCTTCAGGGTTCCAGGTTGGGGCTTGCTTTGTGATGCAGTTCGGTGATTTGCGTAATTTATGTCCTATCCAACCCCAACATCTTTTCTTAATTTCCTCTTCAGTCGGAAGTTAGTTTGTTTTCTCTCACAGTAGATTGTTGCTGACGATGTCCGGCCAATGGGAATCGATATATTGCACACAAAACTGTTTATGACTAACTGTACCTTTTCGATTATGGTTGTAGTAGTTCGCCATTCTTCAGCTTCGCACACTAGGATCGTCTTGGCGTTCGCATTGAAGATTCTGACTTCGGTGTTGGCTGAAAGACACTTGTTTTGAGTTCCATATGCTCTCCAATAATAAGAATGTTGCCCTTACTTTGCAAACCCTTGTCTTTACGTCTGCGTCAGACCTTGTTTGTTCATCATGATACTGCCCAAGTAAGTAGGACTTCTCCCCTCTTCCAGAGTTTCTCCATCAAATGTGACTTGTTTGTTGCTCTCTGTGTTGTATTTTAGGATCTTTCTTTCTCTCTTGTGAATGATGAGACCTACTGCTGTACAGACTGCTGCTAAACTGGCTGTCTTAGACCGCATTCGTTGGTGTATATAAGATAGAAGAGTTAGGTCATCTGTGAAGTCCAAATCGTCTAGTTGCATCCAAGTTGTCCATTGTCTCCCATGCTTCCCCTCAGATGTGAAAGTTCCCATAATCCAGCCGACCACAAGAAGAAAAAGGGCGAGAGTGAGCAGCTTTGTCTATTTTGAATATAAGGATGTTATTTTATTACATAAAAACCCATTTATCTGGCTAGTGATTTTGTCGCAATTTTCTAATCATTCGAGGGCTTGGTTCGATTATAAGGTCTCGTGAGTAGTCATCACTAGGTCGAATTATATCATTGCAGTTCATCCACCGACACGGCCGTAGCTGCTAACTTGACGTGGTTTTCGGGCTTGCCTACCGTGATGACTCAACCGAGCCACATTATCTGAAATACTCGTTTCTTTAGGTCCTACCATGCCAGGTAGGTGGCCTGGAGAGCGTTAACATTAAAGGCAGAGATCTAAGGAACGAGGGCGAAGTTGTACTTCTGACTCTAGAGGGGTGTGGCAGCAATAAGGTGTTTCTGTGGGACAACCGGTGTCTGTAGCGATGCTTCCTTCTTACAACCGAGAGTAGGGGTTAGAAAAGGTCGACCCAAAAAACACCACACCTCACCTTACCTCATGGATTTCTGTTTCCGGCGGTAAGGCCTTTTGAAGTGCGGAGCAAACTCTTCAAAAACGTTTCATAAAAAAAAAGTGAGCGACTGGCCTCAAGCGTTTGTCCCTTGGGCCCCACGGTCACGCTTTCAGATCGCTAAGGCCACCAATGATTCAGTACTCTCTTTAGGTCTTTAGAGTAGGGGATATTTATAGCTTACTAGTATTCAACCATAGGAGTCTACGAAACACTTTTCGTGTATTTTGGAAACATGAAGTAATGCCTGGGTTAGGAATAGAGTACTAGGCAAAGATGGTAAATCAATTGATGATGCAGTAAATCTTCATCAACTGAAGTGATTTGGACATGTGTTACGTGTGTCTAATCTCCGCCTACCTCGACGGAAGATGTTTTCTGGTGTAGGAGCAGGATGGAAAAAGGTTAGGGGCGGCCAGGTAAATCCATTTTTTATCTTCCCTCAAATCCTGATACTTTAATTTCCTCACAACGTTTTCGTTCTTATTTCACTGGTTTGTTTTCATTTCGAGTCGTTTCTTTGATGCCTAATCTTTCTTGTCACCTTTGATACTGTTACTACCTCTACTATTCTGGGATTTGGGCCGATAAATTCACCTCCCTGTATTGATGGGGTATGGCAACTTGAATCGATATATATATAAGTGCAGGTTCTACTTTGTGACTGACTAACTGGTCAATCTATCGATTAGCATTCTATTCACTAAGTTTGACAATCAAAAATCTCGTTTAATCAGACCACAGAAAACTTCCTCCATAACAGCAGACTAGCTTTTTAGTGTAAATTATTTATCTGTCTTTAAGTTTTGATCACGGCGTTATTCTATAGTTCGTAAGTCGCGATTTTATCCTTTTTAATAGTTTGTAAACTATTGACATTACTATTATTCTTTACACTTCTTTACTATTTTCGCTTGTCGACTCCACTTCGTAGTGTTAATTTGAAGTGTGAAAACTTAGAATGATAGACAATTATCCTATATTTCACGTCATGTCTGCCCGTCGTTCTATTTCAGTTTAATAATTAAAAATAGAATAGACAGGAAAATTCAAACAAATGAAAACGTAAAAATAAAGGCTCATAAAATTAGTACAACTAGAGCTTGATAAAAAGTATTAAGAAAATAAAGTGTTGTAGATTTACGGGATAAAGTTTTATAGCGTAAAAAGAGTTGTATTGTACATTATACTACTACTAAATACTTGATAATATTTGATCTAGAGATATAATAGACTCAACTATCTGTCCCTTCGATTGATAACAAAATATAGGTCAGAACAAGAGGATGCTGACACGAATCACGAGTTAGGAAGCGGAATTAATTATACAATATAAGACAGCCTCTTCTATTTAAGGTAGCTCGATATGTTCGTTTCTAATTAATGATTAGTCACAGGTCAATCTCACTCAACATATCAAACGGAACTTAAATGTAGTTGAGCTTTTTAAGTTAGGGGTACCGACAAAAATCAAAGATCGAAAAGTTGTTGCATCTCAGCCTGGGACTTTAGAGATGCTTACTCGCGACCCCGTTAATAATCGGGAATAAACTTCCAACTCTTTATGTAGGCATGTTACTTTTACATCACTGTTTCGGGATTCAATGGTTGGTATTTTCAATTTTGATCGACTTGTGATGCAACGCAATAACTATCCACAGTTAATGCAATATTATTTGCCTCGTGACTTTCATTTCTATCTTTGGTTGGCCATTTATTTGGTAAATAGTACTGTATTAATTAAGATTTTGTAAAACAGTTTTTATTCCTTAACATATATTTAGCTACGCAATAGTTTCATTCTCCCATATAAATTAGGTTATAATTCGGACACTATTTCTTGAGGCAAATATTAGTTTGGGTAACTTACTCGAGCATAATAAAGTCATTTTTATCATTATAACAAACTGTTTCTAAATTTGACGTGTTTTGCTAAAATAAGTGTTCAAACACAATCACATGTTAAAACTAGCTTAGTAAAAATAACTCATTTACTAGGTTGAAATCTATTAACTTGACTTAGAACTATATGTTGATTGTATTATGAATAGCGATTGTACTTAGGTATAAAAACCGAACCTGAGATTTGCTTGATGAAAGCCAAATGTTTTAAACAAAGTCGCCCCCAGCAGTACATCAAAATAAAGGCTAAGATCACTAAAGGAGGTGAGAGCTAAAATGTTGTCTATAGTACAAGAATTAGGAGTGTGGGAGTACTTAAATAGTAAGTCGAATTTTTTAATACGTACTTACTTGGCAGGAATTAACACTGGCATCAGTACTAGGATTGTGTCGTTTTTGAGTTAAACTAAAGAAAAAGTAAATGTTCGATTACTTTTTTCAAGTAAAACATGTGCTTACCCTTGTTTTTTATTCCAACAGAAACATAGCAATAGGATGAATAATAGTGATAGTCCAAAAGCAAATGAACTGATATAATTTAATGCATACTCCATACGACCTTAAAAATATATGTGGACACGTAATTTGAAGCAAACTTACATTTACCAAAAGTTAGATTTTGTTATTAAAAGCTAGATGTTTGATTAAGTTTTTTTATCTCGTTTTTTTGTATATAGATCCGGAATTCATTAGTTTGATTACGACAGAACTTCTTTAGGGCGGATATCTGAGAGGGAGAATAAAGGGATGAAATATGAAATGGATACATGTTTATTTTACTACAAACACAAACAGGAATTTAGACTTAACAATGGGGGATTCAGAACCGTGGAACAGATTACGAAATAAGTTAGCAGGTTGAGCTATCCACGCAAAAAATTGGTACTGACATGAGGAACAAATAATTAGGATTTTCAATTACACTAGTATTTGGAATATCAAAAATTTAGTACATAATATATTCAAAACTACTGTTGTAATTAAGTAACTGTCTGACTTCTTAGAGATTTGTTACGTACTTTACTTACTCTCTGTGTTCGATCATCGTTGTCTCCGAAGGATTGCTGACATCCAGTGGCAACACCATGTTAGTAATGCAGAGGTTCGGCATCGTGTGTTCGGGCACAGAGACGATAATTCAATTGGTGTCACCATCTTGAAACACCGACTTCGGTGGCTTGGACATGTTTTACGAATGTCGTCCCAGAGACTTCCACGTCGTGCATTATTTGCCGACCCTGGGACTGGTTGGAAAAGGCGGAGAGGAGGTCAGTGTATGACATGGTGTCGTGGCATGAAAGAGAGCTGCAAAGGGCTAGCTTCTGTTGGTCCTTCACGACTCCTTGGTTGGGGTCCGAGAGATGGTGCAACACAGTGGCTAGAGACGTTATCAGATATGGCTCAGAATAGAAACCAGTGGCGATCCTGCTGCAACCTTCTTTTACTTACTACATAAAGTATGGTTCTTACTTTCCTATTTGAAAGAGTCTTCTGGTTGTACATTTTAGTCCGCCTTATCTTTTCATCCCTTCTCTTCCTACTTTCATTATTTTGTGTGGCGCATATGTACCTGGTGCCCTTTTGTACCAATATATATGTGTTTAAATAAATAAATAAATAAATAACTTTACTTAGTGAGTATGCTTTCGACTTCACGAAGACCAAGCGTTATGTCATGTGAAATAATAGGATAATAAATTATTTACGATATGGTAAGTAGTGATAGAAAGTGGCAAGCCAATGATATAAACTCGTAGATTTTTCTAGTTTGCACCAACAGAAAAAGAACCATAACAGCATTGAATTCTAGGTCAAATCTAACGACTTATATAATTTGGGGAAAACCATCGAATTAGAAGCCAAAGATTGTTAAACAAGTGTTGTTCTACCAACTATATAGCTTCAGAGGTTGAGATACTAGAAGGTTCTTTTAGAGTCAGTAGGAAAGATGCAGAGAATAATTGTCTAAAACAATTTAAAGCCAATATCAGAGTAATCCCACTTCAGACATTGAAGCCAACTATGGTTTTTGGAGTGCTAAGAACCGAGACATTTAAATATTTTCTGCAATGAAGGTGATAAAATCTTTGAAAACGTCAAAGATGGAATCAGGCAAGAGGCATAAAGATTGCCATACAAAACAACATGACGCTACCCAAACAACCAATAAAGGGGAAATAAAGGCGAACAAAGGGGAAATAAAGCGGAAAATGTATTGGAAAATAAGTCGTAAATAAAGGGGAAATGCATCGAAATGTCTGCTTTTTGGCCTGTCCGGGGGAAATAAAGCGTAATTTCCCCTTTCTGTCGCTCTGTTTTTCAAATGTCGCTAAATTACCGATTTCTCCCCTAAATATCCGACGAATAACCGACTTTTCCCCTAAATATCTGACGAATAGCCGACTTTTCCCCTACTGATTATAATCAGTAGAAACGGTACCAGGACGTTTTAGAAGTTAGAATATCATAGAAATGTATATGGATCATACATTTATCGAACTTTTACCAGGTTAACAGTTATACACACATTCAGTTGCCTATTTTGACTACATAGAACATGTATAAATGAGAATAATCTTAGTAAACTGTCATTTCATACCATGTAAAGCTGAAGTTTTATTTCGAGTAAGTGTTCCAAATGTTTGAGGAGACATTTATTCTTGGGAAGTTTAATATACTTCCGGTACCACGCTCTATCCCCAAGGGGAGATATCACCAACCACAAAAGCTTTGAACCTGCGGTTGTGACCAAGGTCAAACAATATTCTACTAGTAGTTCAGCGAAATAAAACTTAAGGCCCCCTCGTAGTTCTGTTGAATAGTGCGGTTAATCCTGCCAAACAACTTTGTAGATTGCAATGATAACCCACTCTGTTGTATCCTTTGTATCGCTGCCGGTTGAGTTAGTCCAAGCCACTTCCCTGGAGTCCTCGATGAAAAAACTTGACATATTCTTAAGGACTAAGGATAGTGTCTTACTATGATTTACCAACATTCTTTCTTTCCCTCCTTCATCGTCAACACAACTAGGTTCCTGCCTGGAGGTATTGATGATCCACTGCTACTGGACACGGAAGCCCGTTAAGCGAAAGCTTCTTCTATTCCGTTAACAACCATTCGGACCATAAGGATTCTGGGTTCTGTACTCGGGGCTAACTTTACAGTTCAGGCTAGCCGATTTGTATGCTTATGTATTGGAATCGCAAAAGTTATCGGACCTATGTAGTTCAAATATAGAGTTATAAGCAAAGGGTATGTATGTGGTATCATACAAAGAAAATGTAAGGCTGTTAAATGTCTGTCCTATGAATAATAAAATCAGAGGCCTATCTATCACGTTGAAGACATAATTAAAAAATTGGTAACAAATTCTAGGCTGTGTTGGCTAAACGGCAAAGTCAAAACTCAAAAAGATCAGGGCACTCGCCGATACTTTTTCATTGTCTCAGTCTACGCTCCTCCCGATTTCATCTAGGACGAAGTAAAAGATTAATTTTATAGGAAGTTATCCAACCTTCAAAAAGCTAGGCATTTTGATGCAGTGATAGTGGCGGCTTAATTTAATTCTCAAGTAAGTAAAGTAAACCAAACTGAAAGGCACTTAGGCGGATCTTATGGTGTTGAGGCCCACTGAACAGATAATAGTGACCATCTGTTGCAAGTATGCTCACATAACCATCTATTTCCGGAAAACGCCAACTTCAACACATAAGGCGAAAAATCGTTTGACGTAGCGACCCCCATAATTGACTCATCGATGAACTCAGGTTAATCATACTGCCCTTGTTCATCGTTGGAGGGGCTCGATTGGAGACTATCGTCTGAGACACAAGTTTAAACTCGGATCATGCCGTAATTTGAGCACGTATTTGTCTGCGTCTTACTGGACGTGAGAAATCTACACCGATTTCACTTCTAGTTTCTTCACTTGATAATATGGTCGTCTGATATCTCCTTCCCCTGCAACTTTTTCTGTTGTCGTTTCTAGCTCTTCCACGTATTTCTGCTTGCCGGTTCTAATGCTTCTCTTCAATTGCATGTTTGCTTCGGTGTATTCGACCTGTGCCTTGACTTCCCTTGCTGTTGTTCGACTGTCGTTAATTGCTGTATTCTTATTCTTCCTTTCTTGAATCTTATCCAGGGTTTCGACAGAGATGCATTCCTTATGATGATGCTTCTTGGGGCATTGAACCACTTGACGCGTTGAAGTTAATACTTTTTTGATCCATTTCCAGTTCTCAATGGTAGTTTTCTCGTCTTTTAATAGTTTTTGTAATGCTCGGAACCTGTTTCTTCGAGCTCTTTTTAATTAATCGTATTTGTCAGTATCTTGATGGAAGTCTGCGTTACACATTTGTAATTCTGTTTCCCCGGTTGTTCAGTGCTTCTTCAGCTTCAGTTTTATCTTGGCCACAACTAGGTGGTGGTCTGAATTTCTTCAAAAGTCTGTACATGTCCTCACATTTTTATGGATCTAAATTTTTAAGTGATACAAATATATTCGATTTGGTTCTGTATTGTGTGGTCAGACGAAATGTACATATATATTAGTGTATGCATTTATGATGGGGCGTTGAACCACCTACAATCATTTCACTGAAAGCACATACATTTGTAAATTTCTCCCCACTTTCGTCCCTTTCTTCTAGTCCATGTCGTCCCATGTTATTTTCATTACCGTTGTTGTCCATTCCGACTTTGTTATTTAGGTCTTCCATCAGGATTGTCAGGTCCTTTCCTGGGCACTTCCATGAGATCGACTGTAGACTTCCATAAAATTAATCTGTATTGTCTTTGTTCCTTACATTGGTAGGTGCACAGATCTGAAAACCAGTCAATTTGACCCACTCATTCTTTGTTTGAATTCATGAGATTTCCATCCTACAAGTACATTTCTTACTTTTTTGGACAACAGCAGAGCAATCTCCTGCGTGTTCAGAGCATTTCGTCCTTAGTGACTGCTACGAAATATAACCTTTCCTGAATCTAATCTTTCTGTCCAGCTTGGATCCAACGTGTTCTGCTTATTCTAAGCACCATCGTATTGCGCCTCCTCATTTCTCTAGCTGTTTGACCGGCCGTCTAGGTCACTCACATTGTCCGGACATTCCATTTACCTATATTAATTGTTATAGGTATTGACACCGTGAATTCCAAAGAATATCAGCATCCACTATGAGATATCATAATCCTTCGAATGAAAACCCCTCGACTCCCAGAGTGGTTTAAATTTTCGAATGATTCCAAGCTTATTGTTTTTTTGACACAGCTGTGTTCTACATGATGTGATTGGTGACCACACGTATTAACCTCCTCCTCTTTCTGGACAGGGGGTCAGCAGTAACCCCTTTTATAGCGACGGGCGGATTATGAATCGAAATGTGAACCTCAGAAGGGCTTGAACTGTCTGTATAATGGCTAGGCAAACGAAGTTGATAAAGATTTGATGGAGTATTTCCAACGAAGTTGCGCATCATTTATATTCATTTCATGTTTGATGATTAAGGAACGTCTAGGTATCCCAGCCACGCTCAGATGTTAAGTATTAAAACAA